TCAATGCAATGGTGAAATAATGATAAATTACTTTAGGAAAAAGATTATAAAAGTTAAATATAAAAATACTTACCTAGGAAAGACAAAGATTGATAAATGTCCTTTATTTTTTCTCTATCTTACTTATACCTTTATAATTTCTAGGAAAATATTTATATTACTTCTGAAATTTGAAAGTTGTTAAAATCTGTATGTTTGAGACTTACCTCTTAATACATCAGTGCAAACTTGTCGAATAAACTGTTCTGAAAATTCTCTCCCCTGCATCAAATTATTAGGGGTTATAACGTGGACATGCCAAATACAAAGAATGAAAACATAAAAACTGTGGAAGAAGCAGAATACATACGGGTTTCCCATCCAGTCCTGGGGCGCCCGGAGGACCTGGATTCCCAGGTGGCCCCTGGGGGCCTGGGGGCCCCATCAGACCGTCCACCCCAGACTCTCCTTTGGCTCCAGTGGCGCCTCTAGCACCAGTCTCTCCCTTTTCACCTCTCTAAAAGCAAGAGAAATCTTCAGAAGTTCTATTTGAATATTTCAGGAGGTATAATCACACCATAGAAGTCCTCAAGAATACAGATATGAATATATATGAACATATATCTAAATTATACAAGTAACTGCTGGGAAACACCATAATTGATCAGGAGGGAAATTTCATACTATATTAAACAGCAATTTATCCATCCAATCAACCACCCATCCAACCCTACAAATAACTGTTACTTAGTACATTTATTGATTAGGCAATATGCATAGTGCCAGAGATACATCAGTGAACANTGACAGTCTTGTTCCCAAGGAGTTTAAATTCTAGTGATAGGCATAGAAATACACAATATTCCTCACTGGAAAATATGCAGAAAAACAGTTCCTAATTTAGAATTGGAATCAATATTATTGACAAATGCATACCATTTCATACCTAATTCAGTGAACCTACATATTCTGAAAATATTTAGGAACTATTGAAGAACATGAAAGATATTTTCTGTTTGTGATGTCAACAGCTAGATTTATTTATACAGTATTGAAAATTAAGCTGTGAGGACTGGACAGCATAATACAAGAAGAAACATACCTCTCCTTTTGCCCCGTGGTGGCCTTGAATTCCCTTCAAAAATTAATAGGAAAAAAAATGTGCAAGTTACAGTACTAGCAATGTGGCATGTACCCTTTAGACATATTTAATCAAACTTTAATTTTTGGTTTGGGAGACAGCAGTAGAAATAGTGACAAAATTATATATACAAGAGACCTTTTTTACCTTTTTAAGGGAGACTAGTAACTAGGAAATATAATAAATGAATAATATAAAAGGGTTAATTTACAGAACTTCCATTGTTCTGCATGAATATTTTCATATGATGCAGGTCAAACATGTAGGTTAGAATGGCATTCTATCTGAATTCTTTTAAAACTCTACTCTTATTTTAAATTATGTTATTAGTTTAAGGAAAATTAAAACTCAAGTCAGGGAATAT